ACTACACTGCTTTAGTCTTCACAAATGCACATGCATACACACACACACACACACAGAGTGGGTTGGGGCATTGAAATGGGGTCTCATGTGATCCAGGCTGTCTTCAAACTCACTATATAGCTGAGTCTGACCTTATATTCTTGATCCTACTGTGTTCACCTCCCAAGCACTAATATTACAGGTGTGCACCGTCAAGCCTTGATGTTTATGTTTAACGGAATTTGTAAGACTCCCTAAATTTGTAAGGTCCATGAATGCCGTGGCTATATGAACCGCAAGTACATCTATGGGTGAAGTCATATTTTGTGTATCTCATCAATGGCTTCTTATAAGATGTATCTTACAAAATGACATTTTAAAAAAAAGACATAACAAGCAGGTATGGGAAAAGATATTATATTGCTTTTCTGGATTTAGAGACATTTGTGACCATTTTAAAATTCTCTCAAGTTTGTAATTTGTCACAATTTCTTTCCTTATTTTAAATAATTAACTTTTCTACCTGATTTTTTTTTCTACCTGATTTTTTAAATTATAATTTTATATTCTTAATCTGGTTAGGTTTTTTGTTTGTTTGTTTGTTGTTCTTGTTTTCTGGTTTTTCATGTCAGTTTTAACTTCTAGAAACTTATTTCTGCCCTTCCTGTGTTTCATGCATTTCTTTTTTCTTCTTTTGGTTTTTTCAGGACAGGGTTTCTTTGTGTAGCCTTGGCTGTCCTAGAACTAGCTCCAGAGATCAGGCAGGTCTGGAACTCAGAAATTCATCAGCCTCTGCTTCCTGAGTGCTGGGCTCCATCTATTTATTTTAAAGGAAATTTATTCCGTGTGTGTGTGTGTGTGTGTGTGTGTGTGTGTGTGTGTGTGTGTGTGTGCGCGCGCGCGCGCATGCACGCACACAAGTAGACTTGCACATGCAGAGGTAAGAGGACAACTTTGGGTGTTGGTTCTCTCCTATCATGGAAAAATAAGGATTGGGGAAAACAGATAGGCTGAATAGATTGAATAGATGATTATTCGGGGAGAAATCACAACAGAGACAGATGACTGCCAGCAGGTTCCTGTCCCAAGGATGCCTCTGGATGCTATCTGTCTCCGACCAGGAAGTAAGAGAGAGCCTCTGGGGTCTCCAACCCCAGACCTAGTTCCCCCAGGTCATCTCCGGTGCAACAGGTGCTGGCAGAGTGAATAAATATCTCACTACACTCTCCCTCCACCCCCTGGGTCCTAGAGAGGGAACTCAGGCCGTGTGGCTTGGCAACTCACTGAGCCATCTTGCTAGTCCTTATGTAGTTCTTATTTTAATGGAATGTGTCCCCCCCACCCCGTCCTGTTCTAACACTTCTGGTAGTTTTTCTGGGCCTATAATTTTCAGAAGTTACCTTCTTTCAGGTTTCCTAAAGTAGTTCCTTCCAGAGGCATGAATTAGGCCTTAGCAAAAAGAATAGTCATGAAGATAGCTAGGGTTTATTTGTCAAGAGCAACCTTGGAAGTTGGAAGTTACAGACTCATTCTGTCAGAGGTTTCTGAAATCTCAGCACAATGTGTTGTGATGGGAGCCCATGATATTTGTTATTCAGGATACTCCATAGGATACCACATCTGGAGACTCACATGTCACTCTTACCTGGGCAGGACTGAATGATGTCAGTGACCTCTAGTTTTATCTGCTCTTTTCCAGCTCAATGTTCTTCCCTCGGAGTCTTGTGTGAGCTTGGGCCCTCGACCACTGAGCTACACCTCCAGCCTCTCTGTTTTTAAAAATATCTACTACTGTTGTATTTTTTCCAATTTTTTTTTTCCTAAACAGGGGTTCTCTGTGTAGCCCTGGCTGTCCATGAACTCACACTGCAGACCACGGTGGCCTCAAACTCAGACCCACCTGCCGCTGCCCCTGTGGTGCCTATAACCCTCTAAGGGGGATTAGCAATGACTTCTGTCTGGCTTTGCTTGTCTTCCTGTACAGCCTTCCGGCACCATGTTACCTTTTCTTGTTTGGTAGGTCAGTTTTCAAAGCTTCCCTTAGAAGTGAGATCTGCATTGTGATCTCTTACATCTAACTGCACCAACAAGCTAGGAGCTGCATGGGAGGAGATGGCCAGTCCCTTGAGGGGTCAGATTCCTGGGAGAGCTTTCACATCTAGCAGGAGGGGATGAGCAGTTGATGGGCCGAGGACTCCCGGCATTCTGGATGCACACATTCTCTGAATCTATCTTTAGAATGCTTCCCAGGCCCTCGACTATGCCAGCAGCTCCCTGCCCAGATCTCTAGGATTCTGTGCCTCCAGAAGCAGTTGCTCAGCCCAGAAGGCAGGAAGCAGCTCCTGGAGCTAACTATAGGACTTCTCTGCAGCCCTCCTCCAGCCTTGCCTTCCTTGTCTTAGCAGCTCCAGCTAAAAACACCCCCTCACCCCCGGCTTTGGATTGGAGCTGCCATTTCCTGAGTGCCGTGGATTCCTTTCTTTTGAGGATTTCACAGTATAAATCCTGTTATCAACTTCCCCCTGGCTGGAGAAGGGTTCTACTTTCTCTTGGCTGCCTAAGCATTTATAGCCTCTCTTTCCGCCGCAGGATCATTTTTGCTGCCATCTTCTCTTATCCACATCTGTGTAAACTTCTGTGCTTTTAAAAAATCTCTGTTCTTTTAGCCTTTGTGAAAGAAATGTCAAGAGAAGTCAAGATGAGGTGGGGTAGTTGAATGAAAAATAATAAATAAATCAATAAAAATAAAGAAAGGACATGAGTGCTCCCAGGTGTGGAGGAGAGTTTGTTGCAGATAAAACGGGAGCATAGGTAAAGGCAGGGATATCTGGAAAAGTCCAGAGTGGACACGACCAGGCTAAGTTGGGTCGCGAGAGAGAAGGGGAGGGGAAGAAAGGAAGAAGAGAGGGGAGCCAGGTACAGCAGCCAGGAGGTCAAAGGCCAAACATGGGTGAGTAATGAAAACTTGTGGGTTATATAGGAAGAGCCTGTGGGGGAAGAGCAGCCCAGTCCCTGTGCTGGAGAGTTCTGGGTAGAGTGTGGGGTACACTGAGACCCATACCCTCTAACAGGAAGGGACCAAGGGAAGCCTGGAGAATCTGTCAGTAGTCTATGCTGTTCTATCACTTTGCTTATCTTGTTGTTATTTGAGACAGATCCTCTCTCTGTATAGTCCAGGCCAGCCTCAAACCTGTGATCCTCCTGCATCAGTATCAGAACGATGCAGCCAGACACAGGGTCTATATTTTAAAAAAAATATGCATGCATTCGTTTCTTTTGTGTGGCACACACGTCACAGCACACATAAGTTGGTCAGAGGACAACTTACAGGGATGAGCAATCTCTCTCTGTCCATCGTGTGGGCCTGGGGATCAGACTCTTAGCAGACCTGGTGACAGGCCCTTGACATGCTGAGCCATCTTCCCAGCCCTCAGTCTGCCATATCTCTCATGCAGCAAGCATATTTAGCTGCTCAAATTTACTTGACTCCTCCCATTCGGCCATGTGAAGAAGACAGAGCTCATGTCTGATCAGTAACTTTTTTTCTCTCTCATCCCAAGAATAAAAATGTGATCTCAGGACATCTTGACCAATGGTACAGTTTGGGTCATCATTAGTCCTCATATCAAGAAATGATTCGTTTTCAGAAAGCTGGTGTCAACTGTTCCAACCATGGCCAGCTAACCAAGGTTAGAGTTGAGAGTTCTCTGCCCATTGTTACTTTCCCTGGGAAACTATTGTATTTGTTTAGTGATATGCAAGTCCACCTAGAATGAGAAAAAGACGAAAATCTGCTTTTATAGTTTGGTCAGTATAAGCATTAAAAAAAATGTTTAGCTTTTTCATCTAGACTTTGTTTTCTTGCTGGACATGCATCTTTACTCCCAGCACTTAGCTCAGACAGGCAGATCTCTTGGAGTTGAGACCAGCTTGGTCTACATAGTGAGTTCCCAGCCAGCCGGGACTTCATTGAGAGCCTCTGACTCAAAACAACAATAACAAAAAAAAAAAAAAAAAAAAAAAAAAAAAAAATTCTTTCTGTTAATGAACTGGTACTCGATTCAGCAGGGAGAATTGTCAGTGAGGGTTGTAAATTTAGAATCCTAAGTCTGAGAATCCCCCTAGTTTACAGGCTCTTGTAGGTGGAGCTGTGATGAGGTCCTGCCTCAGCCACTCAGAGCTGGGGAGCATGAGCTTCCTCTTCAAGGGAAACTGGAGGGAGGAAGGGAGGGAGGGAGGGAGGGAGGTGAGGTCCCAGAGAAAGGACTTTTTTCTCATCTCTGTTGTTGACCAACAAGGCTGGGGAGCTATGTCAGGCTCGGCTTCTCGGAGCTAAAGAGAAGTTGGGGGTCACCCTTTGATGCCAGGACATGGGCTTCTGTTCCTGTCCGAGGTTGCTTGAGAGGTCTGAGTGACCCTCGCCCATGGACACAGTGGACCCATAGGGCCACGGAACCCTTTGGGCTGAATGCTGGTCTGTCAGTCAAGAGTCCCTGAACCACCTACCATCACTCTTTGGACCAGGTCATGGTATGGTCTGTGTGTGGGTCTCATCCCCGGACCTTTTCATAGAAGTCATCTAAGACACAGATATATACATTATGATTCTTAACAGTAGCAAAGTTACAGTCATGGGGTAGCAGCAAAAGTAATTTTATGGCTGGGGGTCACCACGACATGAGGAACTATACTAAGGGGCTGGAAGCTATTATTAGGAAGGTTGAGAACCACTGTCCTAGAGGACAGAAGGAGATCCCACAGAACCTCTTGAAACAGAGGCAGGTGGCTCAGCAGTATCTGAAAAGGGACCGGATGCCAGCAGCGCAGGTAGGACAAACCAACTTCTGATTGGAATCCTTCACACCCACTCACAGCTCCACAGCACGGTGCACACGGCCCCACAGGAAGATTCCCCTTCTAAACAGGCACACCGGGGCAGCTAGGTGAGGAGGAGCTGGCCATCACCAAGGTCCTTTGGACTTTGAGAAAGGAACTGAACCCAGGGAGGCGGGGACAAATTTGCTTCTAGGCTACTGGGCTAGGGAAGGTTGTACCTGAGCAGAAGCAGGAAGAGGAGGAGGCCAGGGAGGAAGCCTGGGTCACCCTGGCTCCTGCCGAGCGGGCTGGGCGGGGTCCTGCGTGCAGGTGAGCAGCGGGGCAGGGCGGGGCGCAGCTGCGTTTCGGTGCCCGGGCGCCGCTGAGGCCTCTAGCAGACACAGGCCACAGTCGTGCCCTGCGGAGGCCAAGGCGCCCCCGGAGTCATGGCCCGCCCGGCCTGCGGGTTCCCAGTCACTCTGCTGGGCGCCCTGTTGCTGGGTACGGCGCACCTGCTGCACGGGACAGGTAAGAGGGAGCTGTGGCCAGGGAGGCACCTGGACGTGGCGCGTGCGATCCCGACCCGGTAGCATGGTCGGAGAGCTTTGGCGGCGCGAAGGGCCTGGGACGACTCTCCCTGCGCTCAGGCCGCGGCACGAGGGAGAGTCCTGAACCTGGGTGAGCTCCGTGCTGGCCCAGGATTTAAAGGCGCGCGGAACCAGCCTTAGGAGGTTGCACTCAAGGTGGCGCGTTTTGCCCTAGGGACTTTGCTGAGACTTAGCAACACCCGATTAGGGCTTGGCAGAACTTTCCTCCCAGGGCCCACCCTTCACCCGGGCCAGCAAAGAGCAAGAAGGCCATGGTTGGGCGACCCATTGCGGTGCCTCTTTATACCTCTCCGCGCGCCCCATTATTCTGAGGTCCAGGAGTATTCACTCTTAGGACAGCTCCAAGTGGGCAATCACCGGCCGATTGGACAGCAGCCAGTCTGCGTCTAACTGCGGAGCCCCGCGGGTGCCCCACCCCTCCCTTGCTGGAAGTCTGGACTGTTGTGAATTTCAAGAAGTTTGGGTTGGGGGCAGAGGCCACGCTTACCCGGAGATCTGCTCCAGGAAAGACCCCGAACTATGGGCCCTGGGAGTAGAATACTGCCAATAACTAGCTTTGTTCAAGCAAGAACTTAATGTGAGGCGCTTTCTCAGACTCGTACAGGTTTTTTGCTTTTTTTTTTTTTTTTAATAGCGCTGTCCAAAACGTGATTTAGGTCTGTGATGTCCTTTGCAAGGCCAAAGGGGGTGTTTGTGTTTGACACAATGATAAATTAGTGTGTATTAAAGAATAAAACTGAAATGGTGGGGTGAACTTGGGCGTAAACCTCAGGAAAACTTCCTGGTTCCTTTTTTTCAAACATTAAGTGATATATTACTGCATAGTAGACAGAAAAACTTAAGACCTCATTTAAAATTATGCGTACACATGCGCGTGCGCGCGCCAATTGTGGCATGTATTTTGTTGCTGCTAGAGTTTGGTTTGTGTTTTTCTGAGGCAAGGTCTCCCTGTGTAGCCCAAGCTGACCTTGAGCCCGCTGAGTTTCAACCTCCACCTCTGGACTGCTAGAATTCATTACAGATGTGGGCAGCCACTGTACTACTTTCTTAGCACTAAATTTTCAATCGGTTTAAGGGATAGAGTACGCAGTCCATTGTGTAGAGGGTCAGCCTAGCATGTGCAGAGCCGTGGGTTCAATTCCTAGGGCTTCATAAACTGAGTGTGGTGGCTCATACTTGTGATTCTAGCATTCCGGGGGTAGGAGAACCAAGAATTCAAGGTCGTCCTTAGCTACTTAGTGAGTTCTTGGCTGGTCCAAGCCGGATGAAATTTTGTCTTAAAAATACATTTTAAGAATAAAAAACAAGTGTGGGAGGGAAGATATACGTGCATGAGGGAAGGGACGGGGGGGGGGGGGGCGTGTGGCCGGCACTGTTGAAGGCAGGTAACACTCTGCAGGTTGTTTTGAGATAGTTGTCTCTGGCTTCCAGTAAGAATGTGGTATACGTCCAGCCATCACTGAATACAAGATCTGCAGTGGGCTCTGAACTGTCTGTCTGTCTGTCTGTCTGTCTGTCTGTCTGTCTGTCTACAGCACATGAGTAGACAGAGTTCATCCTTAGACCCATGGGAACATGGATTCTTCAAGTGGTTATGTGAACTCTCGTGATCACATAAAGAAAGGAAGTTATAATTCAAGGCATTTTCTAAGTACATTGGCGCAGGCATCTGTAGGTGGTTACTTCAAGTAGTGAAGGTCCTGGGCTAGGCCTTACATGTTATCTGATGACATTTTTGGCTGTTGGGTTCACAGAAGCAAATGATCCCCTAAGTTAATAAAAATCAAAGAATTTTTTTTTTACCTGACCGTAAGAAAGATGTTAGGTCACATACAGAAGTGGGTGATAAATGGCTATTGAGGGGACTGAAGATTGCCCATTGATAATTTTAACTCTCGCTCTGTAACATCCCAACTCTTCACAGTTAGGAAGTTCAAATGAACCTGCCAGTCTGCAGGATCTGCGGCGTAGATGGGGTTCAGAGCGTGACACTTGTCACTTCACATGTCACATGTCTCCCTCAGTTCCCAGAAGCTCCACTCAAGTCCTTCCTTCCAGGAAGGTGTGTGCTACCTGAGTTGCGTAAATACCTGGGATTTTACCCACTTCACTTTCTTCTTCTGTGACCCATGAGGTCACATAACAGGTTGACTCAGCAGTTACCTAGTTTTCCTGAAGTCCAGGCTCCCATCTTCACTGGTGGAGGCCTCTGAGGGCCTGGCACAGTGCATGGTGACACATCCCTGACAGACGTTGCAGAGATGAAGAGCAAATGAAAGCTTGAGGTCGGGGGAGGTGGAGGCATACCCGATATTCCGCCAGCTCCTTCCTGGCCAGGAGAGAAGCACCTGTTGGATTAGAATGAAAGCCTTTAAAACACCATGTCTCCAAGAACTACCAGATAGGCAGTGAGCCCACTATCTTGTTACATTGTTCTTCTGTAAATGTCACAAATTGAAATGAGGACTCTGGCTGTTGTCTGGAGGTGTTACTAGAAGGAGGTGGAGTTCCACGGCCCTCCCCCACACCCCACAAATTGCCCTGGAGTGAGTCACAGGAGACACTCAAGACTTCATGCCATCCGGGACTCTCAGAGTTCACCTTTGCTCACAGATAATGTTTTGTTCTACTTGGTTATATATATTACAAGTTTCTCCAGAATAATTGTGATGCTTGAAACTTTTTTTTTTTTTTTTTTAGAGCTAGGGAATGTAGCTCAATTGGCAGAGCTTTTTGCCTGGCGTGTAAAAAGCATTGTTTTGTTTTTGTTTGTTTGGTTTTGCTTTTTTGACACAAGGTTTCTTTGTGTAGCTTTGGCTGTCCTAGAATTAACTCACAGAGATCTACCTGCCTCTGCCTCCTGCATGCTGGGATTAAAGGTGGGCATCCTGCTCATCAAAGCCTTGGTTTTAATCCCCAGAACTACATAAGCAAGGCATGGTGTTGCACTTAACCCCAGCACTTGGGAGGCAGGAAGATCAGAAGTTTGAGGTCATCCTACATAACAAGTTACAGGTTATACTGGGCTACATGAATGAATGTTCGCACCGCAATTTTCATTCTGCTAGTTCTATTCAGTGGACAGGTATTAAGACTTACATAGCAGAGAGTAAGAAAAATGGCTCGGTGGACTAATAAGGCATTTGTCATCAAGCCTGACAACTTGAATTCAATCCCCAGGACTCACTAGTAGTAAAGAGGCTACTCCCCAAGTTGTCCTCTGACTTACACACACACACACACACACACACACACACACACACACACGTACACAGGCACACACACACACACGTACACAGGCACACACACACACACACGTACACAGGCACACACACACACGTACACAGGCACACACACACACACGTACACAGGCACACATTCACTTATAGGACAAAGCTCAATCCACTTCTGCCCAGCAAAGCTAGTGGGGAGGGAAGGAAGGGTGAGGTCACTGTGTAGCAGCAGAAAGTAGCCAGACCCCGGATGGGGGGGACTTGTGGCTGAGGCCCTCAGCTTTGTTGATTAAGAAAAGTCCACGCCCTTTAATTGTAACTCCAAACTATAAAAATTATCCCGCAATCAAATGATTTCAAGCCACTCACCACAACCTTGTAATTAGCCCATGGCCTTCTTCTGAAAGTCTGAAAACAACCTGACAGGAAGAAGAACCCAGGGGCCCCGCCTTCTTTAGGCAGATCCCTTGTTTGTAGTTTCTAGAATCACTGGCTACTGCCACTCCTCCCCAGCAGCCCAAGCACATGAAGTGCTTTCTGTGAGAGCCTCGTTACTACTTTTCTTTGCTACTCTACTTAATGACAGCAATCCCTTCCTGAAAGCCAATCATTGTGACGCCCTGAGCCTCATTGTCTCATGGTAGGGGCAGTCACTAACCTGTTGTTTGGCCCTGCAGAACCCCCAACAGGTTCTTAATGTATAGTGAAACACACATAGATACTCACATGTAATTAAAAACCAGCGTTGTTAAGTGTGAGGTGCACAGAGCAGTGACCGGAGACTGCCAGGCCATATATGGAATTTATCACAAATGGTCTTTTGGCATAGAGTAACCCAACTCAACTCCCTCTGTGGACACCCAGGGGTCTCTACCAGCTCCAGACCTCCTCAGTTCTGGTACCCGGAGCACAGAGACTCTCGGCATGTCTTTAAAAAGTGTTGTTCGAAGCTGTAAATGTATGATTCCAAAATAGACATTGGTCAGCATAGCTTTGATGGAGAAAATAGAAGCAGTAATGTTCAAACCATTAAAAATGAGGCTCTTTTTCTCTGGAGAAAATATAGACAGGGAAGACATAATTGGGCCTTCATGTTTCCAAGCAAAGGGGCAGGTACAGAGAGCTGAGTGACCCGGTTGGACTACAGGGGTGCTGAGGTGACACTCTGAACTTTTGGTCAGCTTTGAGGCATTGTCTACTTCCCAGAAACTGTCCTTGATTTTAAAGCAACAACAAAACCTGCATAGGTTAGTGCTACGTTCGCACTTTGTTCTAGGAATGTGTTCCCTCTCTCTCTCTCTCTCTCTCTCTCTCTCCCTCTCTCCCTCCCTCCCTCTCTCTCTCTCTCTCTCTCTCTCTCTCGTTAAGGATTCTTTTGCTTTTATTTAATTTTATTTTACTGGTTTTTCAGACAAGGCCTCTGTATGTAGCCCTGGATGTCCTAGAACTCACTATGTAGACCAGGCTGGCCTCAAACTCACAGAGCTTC